TATCTCTATCGCCTCGGTTGGGGGGGGGGGGGCTTATACCTATATTTTGACAAATTACATAGAATTTGGTTCCGACATACCTGGTGGTAATTAATTGAATTAAGATATTTATTACTTTGAAATTCTTTACTGACTAAAATAAATAGATGTAATTAAACAGTCAGGAAAAAAAGTAGTTTTTTTTACAGTGTATATTCTTTGGTGGGAAATTAAGCAGCTTAGTGGAAACATTGACTCTTACCTGTAAGTCTTGTTTATAAGTGTGTCAATGCTTTAAAGTGAACCATTTGAAAAATACAGGTTTTTGTAAATTCACTTTAGAATACTGGCAAAACTAATCTCCATATGTACAAAAACACCAAAAATCTGGTTCTACCTGAGTTTCATATAACCAGACAAAATATTTGTTGAAGTAATTTTAAAATGTGAGCACCCTCTGGTGGCTGGTGAGTTGAGATAAAGCTGTTTGAATATTGCTGCTCTTTGTTCTTATTGGCAGTCCTTACTATTTTCTTTTAACATCATTTTGTTATGGAATAAAACTAATGTAATTAACTTGAATGATCTTTAAATCCAGTTATTAGTTTTATTAATAAACTTTAATATAACAAGATACTGACCCATGTGTGTAGCACGTCCTGTAGAAAATCTGGTTTAATATTACTTTTTAATTTTCTTTTTTAGATTGACATTGGTCATATTTCTATCATGGCCAGTTAATTTTTTTAAGACGAGCAAAACATATTAGTTAGCTCGTAATGGAAATTGTAAGAAACAAAAACAAGCTATACATGTTACTTTGTAAGATTTGCGGCCTGAGTCTCTATTCTGTTTAGAAGAGTTTATGCTTAAGGAACTGTGGCAAAGAAAACCTAATCCTACCGGAGCTCAAGTTACAAAGTTTTATAACGAGGATCTTTCTTCAACAAGCTTATATATTAGGGCCCGGTGAATTACCCTTTAGTTCATTATTTAATAACGACTTTGGAGCTGATCCAAGTAACTTTCTCTTGCTCTAGTAGTAAATAAAAACGTTGGAACTGATCCAAGCAGTTTTCCTTTACTCTAGTAGTAAACATAGATTTTGGAGCTGATCCAAGCGACTTTCCTTTACTCTAGTAGTAAATATAGATTTTGGAGCTGATCCAAGCGACTTTCCTGTGCTGTAGTAGTTAATGAGGACGTTGAAGCTAATCTGAGCAACTTTATTTTGTTCTAGTAGTTAAGGACGTTGGAGCTAATCCAAACAGTTTTCCTTTGCTTTAGTAGTCAATAAAGACATAAGATCTAATCCAAGCAATTTTCTTTAGTAAAGCATGGTTAATAAGAACACCAGGGAGATTTAAACATCTTTGCTGTGCTTTAATCGTTAATAGGAACACAGAAACCGATCCCAACAGTTTGTTCTAAATGTTAGTATATATATATATATATATATATCCTAACAAAAGTAGTAACTTATAGGAGGGGTAGTTATATAGTAAATATTATTTACTACTATATCCTTCCTAGTATAGAATAATTATTAACTTTTTAACT